CTGGAATAGAAGTTATGAAGGCAACATTTAACTTGCTCATGTTGTTCGTGTGTAATTTCAGCAACATTTCTTTGCATACTTGAGAAGTGTCTGTGACAAAACATCTCTTGGTCTAATAATGTTGTTATAATATGATAAAGTGACACCTAAAATTACTCTAACTTCGGAAAATATTGAATTTTGTCCTGATATGTTTCCTGCATTGACGTAGAAACATGCCACTTTCCAACCCACTTTCAATTTGTCATATTGTAATTATATTAGACTAACAGTACATAGTCATGGTCTTATATATCCCCTCACAGGGCACTATTCCACTTAGTCCCTGAAGTACTGTGCACTGTTTGTTTTATTATACCAATTCTCAACCAAGGTATGATGAAAGACAACTTTCAGTTTTAAAAAATATACACATCTACCCCCTCTAATGCCATTTCAAAACAGCATAGGTACCTTTGACACCCCTACCTCATTTTTATGTAATGTCGTAATCCATCATTTTCATCAAAGTATGCTTGAGTTGGTGCAACATTAACATCATCTACTTTTGTTACATGTATTGTGGAAACTTGAGACAGCGACTGACTCCACAGTTGTCAATAAACTTAAGTATACCTCAATTTCATGCTGGTTTTCCTAGCCTTATGATCACATACAAAATACTTCAACAGTAGCCCATGGCCATTTTTCCGCCACTTCCGTCACTTCAATTAATTAAATGCACCCTCATGAAATACCTCCTTCTTTCTTCAGGTACGTTCTGGCTCTATGCTGGCCTAGGCACCATAGGTTTTATATTCCTGCTAATTCTTCTGCCAGAGACTAAGGGTAAGAGCCTGGAAGAGATGGAGGGGCTGTTTGCCAGACCATGGTGTGGAAGGGGAGCACCTGTTGCTTATTATGAAAAGAGTGTCCAGTATGTCCACATACGGGGCCTAAACAGGGATGGACGGGACTCAGATTTAGACTCTCCAGAGTAATAAGGCACTTAGTGTAGGGTTTTATATGTGGGGTTATCACTAATATCCCAGCATCATTACTCCCCACAAAATTACTTTACTGCTTTGTTACTCCTACCTAGTTTTTTTTTAAAGAATGATTTTTAAAATATTGTCACGTTTGGGTCCCAGTATTAATAGTAAGGTTTTAGAATAAAGAATATTGTTTTGTATTTCTGTTTTCCCAGTGGAGAGTAATGATGAGGCTGATAAGGTTTGTGGAGACCTAATGAGATGTGACCCTACAATCATATAGTCTTTGTTATTGTTATTGTCACAGTATGATGGCATAGATATGGTTGTTGTGTAAATTGAATTAAGTAATGTATCTACTCAAAGGGCTGTGATGTTCATTACAGAATCGTTATAGTAACTATACCTTTGTGAGGAAGATTAAGAATAAGTTGAAGATTAAGAATATTTTGTGCATGCTCTATACATGTAACAACTGAAATTTGTTAAGCTTAAACATTCCTTTTTCATGTTTCGTTGTTCTTATGTCATTATATATAATTATAATCATTTTAATGTTTCAAAACTACGTAGTTTATTTCTCTACACAAGATATTTAATGACCAAATTAGAGCCATTTAAATTGTTGGGGATAAAAATTGGGCCAAAAATACTCTATTGCATGTTAACTTTTTCAAAACACTATCCAAAGGTATTTTCCTTTTTATGGCATTTTTCACCAACCAAAAGAAGAGTTATCAACCCTTAAGATACAACTGAGTTGAGCTTTGTTTGAAATTTAAATGATTGCATGATTTAACACCAGTGTCTATTTTGAGTAATTGGAATAAAAAATACTGTAACAAAATTAATGAATTAATGGCTAGTGACATGTGATACAAGTTAGTAATATTGTAGAGGCACTTTATGTTGTTTCAGTGTTGACAAATTTCAAAAAGTATTTCTTGTCTTCAAGTATCGTGTTGTTTTCATCAGTTGACTATTGGAGAAAACGGCTTAATTGCATTAGCAAGGTCATTCCACCTTAAGAGTGAACTTTTTAAGAGATAGTTTAACAGCAAGCATGCTTTTGAGAACAATGTATGCCTAAGCATATTCTTTAAAAAAATTAAATCTTAATAATATAATTTATTTAATCCTTTCACTTTGAAATGCTTAGAGACAATTTCCTCTGGGTTTCTCGTGCTTACAATCACCTTGCTTCATTAATATTGTCAAAAATAAGGAGTCATTCATATTCATGTAGTAGGAAATATTATAGTATACTTCAGTGGCAGAAGGGGTAATTTTTGTTAACTTAAAGGTTAATCTCTGCCATCTGATTAATCGTAAGAAAATATTTCCAGACCATTAGCGTATGGCCATTGTCTGTTTAATAACAGCTCATTACATTTGTTGCAGATGTCAACTGAAGCCCTATATAGTAAGCTGAACCAGTGTTATGTGAAAGCTTTTTTTTATTTTCTAAAGTGACTTTATTTTCAAGATATGTAACAAGAGCACAGACAAAAATGTAAAATGAGAAGTAAATAAATAATTTTATATTTAATCCTTAAGCGTACATTTCATTTAGCTTAATGCAAATGATCTCAAAAATGCAACAAACACTATGTTAAACAAATATACAATTCTCCAGAACTAAGACTAAAGCTAACAAGATGAAACCTCTAAACCTAATGACATTAAAGCAGGATGGAGTTTTTTTTACTAAAGATTTTCTGATTTCAAGGACTACGTACACATGTATATACGATTATGATGCTGTTCAGTCAGCATATAGGCAAAACTATTCAGCAATATCAAGTATTTGTCTTTGTACATAAAATCACATTTTTATCTTCATGTTACTTTGAATTCTTCATCACAACTCTCCTAATTTTGGCTGCACGAAGGTGGTACTGTTTTTGCTCTGGCATGGCATGTTCTCCATTACTTTTTCTTTTCAAAGAAGAAGATTCCATTTTAATACATGTTTTTCTTTTCTTTGCACCTCTGGTCATTTGGGCTTCCATATTCTGGCCAGTGTTGGCAGAGACTTGTGGAGCCTCTGCAGCTATCTTAATCATGCTGCCAGTATCTGTGCAGGCAGTAGACACCTGTGACAAATCACCACTTTGGTCCTGTGAGAAAGGCAAACCAGTCTCTTGTGAGAATGATACAATAAAATTATTAGTATGTGACGATACCTCATTACGGTCTTTTGAAGAGCTCTGTGAGGACATTTTATCAGGCACTGGAAAAGAATCTTGATTATTTGTAGATTCACCCTTGAATTCTTGTGATGAAACTTTGTCAGGTGATGATTCCTGGACAGATTTCTTTGCTACAGTTTCAATTGTAGGTACTTGTGTTGTATATTTGCTTTGTTCTTGTGGGATAATCTTACTAGAATCTTTGGATAATGAAACCTGTAGCTCACCAGAGTCAGCTGATGGTGTTTCAGTAGGCAGGTTTACTGGAGTGTCATTTTGTTTTTCCAGTACAGCCTTCCTAGGTTCCTGAGTCTTGTTCGTACAAACTGGAAAAGTATTTTTGTTATCTTGTGATATGAACCCATGCTCAGATTCTTGTGATGACGAAGTAGATTCCTCATGTTCTTGACAAGCCTTCTCTGGGGGAAAATGACAACTCTCCTGGGTGTTTGACAGAGAATCATCACCTCCACTGAGAGGACCAATATTTTCCACTGCTGTAGGAGACACTGTAGCCTGCCCATTGACATTTCCAGGACTGTTTACACTGCAGGTGCATCCACAATATCTGCAACCACCTTCTCTTTGTGAAGAAGAGGATGACACCTTATTCCTACTTTCAAAACCATTTATGTCCACCGCATGGATTTCTGTTTGTACACTCTTGGACACCACAGCATGCACTGGTCCCATGGGTTTCCCATTCAGTAGTGCACTTGAAGGAGAGGGAATATCACACTGTGTAGCAGTTTGACACAGTACACCCAATTTATATGGGTCCACTTGGACCTGCTGGTGGATGCATCCTTTTTGTTTATGCGGTATCATATGCTGTCTGGTAGAAGTCAGTTCTTGTGGCAATGGTAAATTTTTTGATGCCATCTTTCCAGTTGGAGTTACTTCTCTATCAGTGGAAGTAGGTACTGGTGAAAATTTGGTCATGGCTTTAGTACACATCTCTGATAATGTAGGTATGGGGAGTGTTGAGTGTCTTAGGGAACATAGTGAGACCACATCAGACGTGTGGTTTGGAACAGGCTGAAAAGATGTTAATGGTGGTTTCTTGTAGTTGTTGCATTCTTTTCCTTCTGGCTTCTGATGCTGAGCTTCCTTCCTCTGCTCATAACATACAAGGTCTAACAATTCATTCATAGTTGAGTGAGCAATGGCATCTGTGTTTTCTACTACATTGTATGTTTTGTTTGTGTTGCTGGGTTTTATGGTATTCTCAGTGCTTACATTTTTCGGCTTATCCTCTGAAGATCCAAAAGCACCAAGAAAAGCATCTCTTTCAATTATCTTTAAAATGTCATTCAGAACATCCCAGGATACAGTTTTATTGATTTTGCCATGATTTCCTGCAAGGCAATCTTTGTCAGAAACAGCATTGTCACACATGATTTCATTTTCATGGGTGTCAACTAAACTCAGAGTTTCAAATTTACTTGCATTGCCAAGGACTGACATTACACAAGGGATTCCAGCTGTTACAGTATCACCCCTGCATGGGTCAGACTCTCCTCCTTTTTTGGCAATGCCTGAGGTGCACTTACTTGTAATGTCAGAAGAGTCACTGGTCAGGCTGTTGACATTCTCTTTAACAGTGCTATTCCTCAAAGACATATTTCCCCCTGATTTATTTTCTTCATGTTCTTCTGGTGGGATAAAAAAAGAAATAAAAATTATGTAATGAGAATCACACTTGCACAAAGCAAAATTTTATGTTCTGCTTGCAATTGTGGACTTTCTGTCAGAGTTATCATGCAGAGCATAAATTTATATCAAAAACAAACTAAAAAAACATTCAAATCAAAACTTGCACTGGTAGTATGAGACCATTTCCTTTTAAATTCATTAAAAGTGACTAGTAGTTTACATATATAGAAGTCTTAAACCTATTTTTTCATGTTTTTCTGTGCAGTTTATTATGACTTTTGCCTTCATCCGATAAAATCTTGAACTCGCGGTAGAGAAAGAAATTGCCAGTTAAGACATTAAAAGTATAAGGTTACCTGTGAAGATTGCACAATTTTGTTGGCTGTCTAGAGAGGTTTCTATCAAATCCATCTTCTGAAAATGGAAATTGGAAACAACTGGGATTAGGACTTCTTGCGTGATTACTGATTGCTTCTTTTCTTTAAAACAGGAAATTGATTTTTCACAAATATCATTTTACTGAATTTGTCATAAATCTCCTTAGTGCTCTGAAATTTTGCTAAAGAGAGATGCATTCCTGTGTTGTTGGCAGAAATGATTTCAATCAACAAGGGATTTAATCAGATTACTTGAAATTAAGTGTAAAACATGATGCAATCCACAATCATATCAGACAGACAGACAGGTATTAACACACAATAGTTGATTACATTAGAGAATGAACACATTTGCAATTATATCAGTATTGCATAACAATCTAAACCCCAATAATATGTGGCTTTAAATTACTTTATCTCGAGGTTCCCTTGACTCGGGAGGTTGTGCAACAGTATTCTTCAGAGAATCATCTTCATGTTTTTTCTGCATATTTACTTGTTTTTTGTTGTTTGCAATATCAGTTAGGTCTTCCTTCTTTGGTACTGCATTTTTGTTATATTGTGGGTTGCATTCTTTTATTTTTTCTTCTGGAACCATTTCCTTGTTTGAAGGAATGACAGCACTGGTGTTAACATCAAAGATTCCAAGCTCTGTTCCTGAAATAAGACTACAGGTCACGGCTCTCTGAACAATTTCCTGGCTCATTAAACTATTGGTTTTCTCTGAAACTGCCCTTACTGGACTATCTGTCATTTGCTTCCTCTCTGTTGTGTCACAGGCTGATGCTATTTTATCAGATTGAGATGGTTTGGTCCCCAGACCATGAGGAATAAAACCCTGCATCTGAAGCATGTTTGCTTTGCAAGTATCACTGGACACTGTTGGTAAAGACGATTGCATTTTAAGGTTTGTTCCACTGGAAGATGGACTTTCAGCGAACTGACATGGAGTTTTCCAAATAGAAGGATTTTTGGATGAATTAACTTTATTATTCATCTCTTCACAAGCCACAGCGTTTTTGCATGAGGGTTTCTGAAAGAATAATTAAATTATTCAGAAATTGAGTTCTGAAATTGAAATGATGTTATATCTTTACAATCTGGTGTGCTGTTTGGGGCAGTTTGAAATGTCATATTATGCTCTCAGAGCAATCCTTATCATTACTAAGAGTTTTCTTTTTAACCCAAATTCATGCAACTGTTTACAGGGATGGTATTAAAGGAAAACATATGTACTGCTCTCATAATCTTAATAATTAAAGAATATTTGGCACTTTACAGAATTTAACACCACCTTTAAAATGTGCTCACCTGCATTTCACGTTTCTCACTTGATTCACTACTCTGCAATCCTCTAAAAATGAATTAGAAAAAAAAATTAATTGGAGTTTAATTTTCTAACATTCTGTGTGATGAGCAGCCTTTTGTTTTTAGCAAGAATCATGTTAAAAAGTAATGAGCTATATGTTGATATGTTAAAAAGTTCACTGAATATTTTTTTTAATTCCACTCTATATATATTATCAAGTGTATCAACAGCTACTTATTAAATATTTTTTTAGGCATAGTAATCACTGCAGGGGCGGATTTAGGCCGTCTTCTGGGTCTTCCAGAAGACGGTCAGATTTGCAAGTTGACATTGACAGGTATCTATTTTTTATGTTGGAAGACGGTCATAAAAAGGAGGACAGATCAACAAAGATAATTTGGAAGACAGTCAGAAAATATGTCTGGATCCGCCCCTGCACTGCAATATCTGTCAATTATCAGCCCAATGAATGTTCCAGTAAACATATCCTGTCACAACTGAAGCAATGCACATCCACTTGCAATCATTTCTATGAGTTACTCATAGCCATATACATGCATACATATATGAGTCCATATTGAACTCAGTGAAAGTTTTTATCCACATCTCCTCCCCAGGCAAAATTTTAACTTTTGAAGTCTTGCCTAGGCAACATTTTAAATGCCTACTAGCAGGCGTAATTTTTATACAAATTCAACTAGAAAGTTTTAAAACAAATTTTACTGTTACAAACATTACAGCACAGCATAGCTGAGGATATGGTCAACAAATCTAAATCTATGTTTTCTCAGACTGGGCAGTGCGGGTGTAGTCACATGGCTATTTTTGTGTTATATCATGCATCAATACCTTGAATGGCTTGGTGTACAGGTGTCCTGGTTATGCCTGGGTATAACAAAACTTGTACCATGGCGCTGTTTAGGTGTACCCATCTCTTGTCCAGTGATGCTATGGGCATGCACCTGTGGACTAAAACCCTCAGATGAATGTCCTGAAGTAGGGGTCTTATCTTGGGATTTATTCAGTGGACGAGGATTGAGCTTATTGAAGGCAGCGTCATCTAGCAAGCAGTTAAGGATGTTACCATCACTTTTAGGCACTTCCTGTTTGTGATGACTCTCCTCATACTCCCAGAGCAGGGTGTCTTTTTTCTTATTGTTAGAGGCACTGGTGGCCACATCAGTAGTAGCTTTTAAACCATGCTCCAGTATTGAAGAAGGTCTGTGGTATCTATTCCTGGGTGTGGTATTTGATACAGCTGTGATGTGGTCATCTGCTGTATCCAGGGGATAACCTGAAGGAAAATCCCTCAAATTTCTGTCACATAACCCAGCTGGTTTATATTTGGACCAATTTGTTCGGTTGTGTGCTGTATCACTTGAATATTGTTCTAAATTGTAAATTTTTCTATCATGTTTTAGTCTGATATCTTGTCTGTCTTTTGTACCATAAGCATTTCCATCAGCCACAAGCACTTCATGAGGTTTTTCCTTCCTTGGGCTGTAATGTGTGTAGCCTGACAACCTCCCATCCCTTGGCCTGGCTTCCATCCCCCTTTCAGGCTGTTTTGTATGATGTCTATTGGTGGCATCATTTTGTGTAATACTCTGAGATGAGTAAAGATTATGGAAGTCAACATGATGATTTTTTGATGTTAAACTTTGCAGTTCAGCTGGATGGAACCTATCCACTTTGTGATGCTTCTGCACTGGTGTTATGAACAATTCTTCTGCACTAATACCTGGTCGAGACAGAGAGTTATTTGCTCTAGGTTTTGAGGAGTCATAGGGATACTTGAGGTTCTTACTAGTTGAAGAAGATCTGTGTATTTGATTGGTATCCGAGGTGTAAGCCTTGGGTGCTGTTTGTTGACTTGATGGGGTCATGAGCATTGACAAGTATGGAGTCTATAATTAGAAAAGATAATAGATTCAATTGACTACACATGCATACTGGAGTTTTGTCAAATTCTATATGTACGAAGTAAACTTGGAAAATGTTCATTACCATAGGTAACCAAGCCAAATAAATTTTTTCAGCATTAATTCCCTAAAAGAAAGAATAATCTTTTGTACTTTTTCAATCAGAGAGTTAGCTTGTCAATAACTTAAGGTTATATTTTTGCATATACCAGTATATGTGAGCATGCAAAATTGCACAACTATAACTAAAATAACTTAGGATTTGTACACCTGTTTATTATAAATTTTGTGTCACTTGCCTCAGGTTCAAATTCTGCAAAGTTGTATTTGGCAGGCGTGGAATTGAACTCTTCACGGTTCCCCTTGTGGTATTTGTAAATTGAATCATCTTCTTCAGGCCCAGATGTGAGCTGAAAATTGGAACAAACCACTTCTGTTGAATGATTTATTTTTCTACTAAATCAGACATAAACATACCACATAAACAACGATGACCATGTATGCAACTTTGTAATTTTTAGGTTATTCATCATCATTTATAACTGAACAAAGATGCTTCTCAGATTTATACTGTCAAAAATAACTTATTTAATTTACATTTATCAATGAAATACATGTTGATGAAGGTTTACCTCAAAATGTGACCCTTTGTCAAGATATCTGATAAATGGTTTGTTATGCTCAACATGAGTAACCCTGTCTGCTAGTGAGCTGGTACTTTCTATAGAGTATGGCTTCTGCTGAAAGACTTGACCTGCTGGTTTAAAAGTTGTATGGCCATCTCTCCAATGATGCCATTTATCAGGTTTTTGATCTACCGAATGAAAGCTTGAAGAAAATGCATTGATATATTTGGACAAGCCGTGATCAATGTAAGAAAATTCATGTAGAAACAAGTAATATCCAATTGCATTAATTTTTTTTTTTGTTTTGTTTTTTTCCTGCACCTGCCCCAGAATTTATTACCACCTTCTGCCAGAAGCTTTTAAGCAACATCTCCAATATTATTGTTTTCCTTTCCAATCATTCACATACAATTCTTTTAACAGTTTATTGACCCATCCCCTAATTTTCTGTCTTGATAACAGAACTTAATTAAATAAATAAATCTAGTACATTTGTACACTTTACCTGCTGCTCAGATCATTCAACTGTATTACAGATGGTGTCTCTGATAAATCTGGAGACATTGGGAGTTCTAGGTCTCTGTCTTCTCTTCTGAATGGATCTGGCCTCTGACCAAGGTCAACTTTCTTCACCTTTCTTGGAGCAAGATTATCATTTTCTATAAAAGGAGCAAATATATGTTATTTAAAGGCAAGAAGTCTAAATGACAGCCATGCAGAGATTTTCTCAAATCTCTTCAAACTGTTTCATACATATAATGTCAATCATTCACAAAGTTTATTATTTATTACTCAATATGACAAACATGAAATACAAAAACTAGCATGAAACTCATTATTCAGCCACCTTTGCTAAATGGAAAAGTGTTTTCTTGTGTTCAAATACTTGTACAGACTTTTAAGTTTAATAAAGATTTTATTTTTTTAATTAAATTAACACCTTAGAAAACATTTACAGATTTATAATTTACCCATTACTATCTTGTCACTGGACTTATTCACCAACTGCAGTGCCAGTAAATCCTGACTCACGCCTTTACATTTGCCTTCAGGTGAAGAAGTAAGTTGTCTCTGATGGCGATGCATTTTGCTTAAGAATTTTCGCCTTTCAAAGAATTCCTGGGAAAGAAGGGATAAAAAATCTCATATAATTATTTGTAAGTATGCCTTTAAATAAAAGATTGACTACTGTTCAATTAATTTTTTATTTTCATTTTCAGGGAACTTGGAGTTAGACTAATAGTGTGAAATTTCAAATTCTTTAAATTTCATTATTCTCTTAAATAAGGTTGGGCTCTATCAATAACAATCGATAACTGTACTTAAGTTCATGCTAACGTAGATCTACTAACACTGGCATCAAAATAACGTTTTCGGCAAGCTCTCTTTCACTGAAAGTTTCAGTTTTCTGGAGTAAATTGTCAATGACTTTTATTATCCCTCTACTAACTGAGCACTTTAGTTTACCTTTTGTATTTTCCTCTCTTGCTGGCTTTTAATTCGACTACGAATACCACCAACCCAGTTCATTGTTATTTTTTCTGTTGTTGTTTTCTTTCGAAGAAACTATAACCAACTCGGCTGCTGCCAAACACAGCTCGGCTAGCAGAGATAGCAGACGATGCGCTGACTTCCGGTTAATATAAATGCACGGGTTTAGACAATTTATAACAAAAACTGACGTTAAATGATAGGAGTTTTAGGTTGTTAATATTCTCGAAAACATCGAATTCTTTGTTGGGATATAGTGAGATTTATATGGTATATCTTATGAGCATTATATCGAGATGCAAGTATTTCGGTAAAATCCAAATTTTTTAATCACCAGAGGTAAAGGTCACTAATATGGTGGCCAAGGTTCGCGTCGTCCTCTTTTTCACGTGATATAATTTCTTAGTACTCATTTCTGAAATGGAAAATGCACAGAGAACGGTGTACAAACTGATAAAAATTGCATCAAAAAACCCTGGATGTCGGAAGAAAGTCATTGGCGGTGTTGCAGCTGCTTTAATAGCAGCATACGGAGTGGGAAGATTTTATCCTCACCTGACTAAGTATTTCTTGCCTGAAATCAAAGGTCGAAAACGGGCAGACGGATCAAAAGGAGATGGAGATGACGGAGAAGGTGAAGAAGCAGAAAAGCGAAAGAATGCAAGGGCACCTGGTGTTGATAGACAGTTTTTCCTACAACTAAGAAAACTGTTGAAAATTCTCATCCCATCTATTTGGTCCAAAGAATTCGCCATACTGGCCCTACATACGGCGTCTCTTGTATCAAGAACATTTCTGTCCATATACGTAGCTAAGTTAGATGGCAGAATTGTTAGAACAATAGTCAAACAGGATGTAATGAAATTTGTTGTCCAACTTTCCAAATGGCTACTCATTGCTGTGCCAGCGACCTTTGTGAACAGTTTGATCCGTTTTCTTGAGAGTAAACTGGCTTTGGCACTGCGCACACAACTCGTAAATCATGCATACAGCAAGTATTTCCTCAATCAAACTTACTACAGAGTCAGCAACTTGGATGGGCGCTTGACCAATGCCGACCAGTGTCTGACAGAAGATATTGCAGAATTTACTTCCTCTCTTGCTCATCTATATTCCCACCTCACCAAACCATTGTTAGATGTGGCTTTGATGTCTTTCACTCTGTACAAGGTATCACAACTGGAATTGTAAATTATTTTAATTACCTCTACCAATGAAGGAGATAATGTTTTCATAGTGTTGGTTTGTCTGTATATATATTTTTCTTTTCTTTTTTCCTGCAGCTTCCATAATGTTGTCATATTTCATTGATATTGTGGAAACCTTACTGTCATTTCAGTTGGCATCAAGCAGAGGTGCAAGTTCTCGAATTCCATCTGTACTGGCCGCTGTAGTTATTGTGATAACAGGCAAGGTATTACGAGCAGTATCACCAAAGTTTGGAAAATTGGTTGCTGAAGAGGCCAGCAAGAAGGGATACCTACGCTATATACACTCCAGAGTAATAGCTAATGCAGAGGAAATTGCCTTTTATGGAGGACACAAGGTAAGTATTATGCCTCACATTTATTTCTTGCCAGATAATCAAGTAATTAACTGTCTTCAGAAAAAAAAAACAATTCAATTACTAGGCACATTTATATGTTTCACATGATTTATTAACGATAAAATTAAGAACAACAACATCTCATAATTCAACCACAACTCTCCTTTTTATGTTTCCTTTTATTTCTTTGTTTTCCTAGACCGAGGAGGGCTTACTGCAGAGAAGTTACCAGGCACTAGCTAATCAGATGGACCTCATCTTCCGTAAACGGCTGTGGTACATCATGCTGGAGCAGTTTCTGATGAAATATGTTTGGAGTGCTAGTGGTCTGGTCATGGTGGCAGTGCCTATGATTACTACTATAGGACAGAGACAGGATGGTAGGCTTATATAATTATATGGTAGGAGGTGTGTGAAGTTACTAAACATGTGTGGCCAATTTAGAGATAATCAATGTATACTTGATTAGGCACAGTTGCTGTATAGCATGGGCAGGGTAATGTTTTTATCCATGTTAACACAAAAATGGTAATAGAATTGGCTCCAGATACTTTATTGCTTAGAAGCAGAAGTGGAGAAAATGGGGATGGGAAGCAGGGAAAGAGGGGGGAAAGCAAAAGGGCAACAGTTACATCCTAACAAGATCAATGTTTACAATATTATTCTGCTGTTTTATCTGTTTTTCAGACAGTGACTTAGATGCTGATCCAGACCTGGTGCAATTAAAAGACTATGGTCTATATAACATATATCTAAATTAAGGCTGTTGGAATATGAGAGTAAAATATGCATTTAAATGAGAGTGTTTGACATGTGTGCTTTCAGGTAGCTTTATAGATGATGACCCAGATGGGGGAGTGAGTGAACGCACACAGAATTTCACCACTGCTAGAAACCTTTTGATCAATTCTGCTGATGCAATAGAAAGGATGATGTCTTCTTATAAAGAGGTGGGGATTCTGTTCATTGAGATATATTTATTTTAGTAGACTGCTGTTTTTCAATTTAACTTCTTATTTGGTTAAGAAGAAGTATAGTTTTCAAAGCTAATTTATAGGATAACTTTGACTTTGCTCATATATCAATCTATTGCATAGTTGGAAAAAAGGAAAGTAGATCTCAGTTTTTTATTTATTTGCAATAGTTGATTGCATAAATTATCTCGTCTTATTTTTATGAAACATGAAGTACAATTTAATTAGTTTTTAGGGATATACTAGTTGAAAAATTAAATTGCCACTTTTGTCCAAACTCTGAAATTTATGTGTTTACAGGGTTTATTTTTTGATAGTAATATTGTACATCTTATGTTGTCCACAGTGACACCTAGTGCATTACACCCAGGTCTAATGAAAAAGGTGTGGTAAATAATCTTATTCTGTCCTTTAATTGAATGCCTTTGAGAATTTTTAATAGTGTGACACTGAATTTACATACAGCTAATTTTTGTTGATTTTGTGTGTGTATATAGATAACAGAGCTAGCTGGTTATACCTCTCGTGTATCAGAGATGTTTGAGGTGTTTGAAGATGTGAGGAAAGGAAAATACAAACGTAACATGGTCACCTCCAACAAGGCTGCAAAAGGAGCGCAGAAGAAGATCCAAGGGCCCCTCCAGATTAAAGGTATCATAAATGCACATGGTGACAGTATTTTTTATAAAAATCTGACAAGGCAGATCCAGAAGTACCCCTAACCCCCCCCCCCCCCCCCCCCAAAGAAAAGATTCACTTATATAATTTAACTATTTATCTTGATTTCCACATGTTAAAACAAAACAAAAAAAAATAATGATGTGTATATATGTAGTTATTTATTTGTAACACAAAGTACAAATCTGACGAGATAAGTATAATGGTTAATCAGAGTGAGTATAAAGCTATTTGATATGCCTGAAATACAGATATTCTATGTGCTCCTTGTCTAATACATGTTCTGGTCAAGGTCTGATAATAATATGATGTGATGGCAAGAGTTCAAAATGAATATTTATCTATTTGTTTATTTTGTCCCAATAGGTGAAGTCATTGACACAGACACTATTTTACTGGAAGATGTTCCCATCATTACGCCCAATGGAGATATTGTGGTGTCTAGTCTCTCATTCCAGGTAAATGTGATTCAACTGAACAACAATAATTTTTAAGTGTTTTGAAAATAGAAAATTGATGATATCTACAGATGGAATGGATAAGTGTTCCCCCCCCCCCTCTCCCTCTCTCTCTCTCTCTCATTTTGGGGGAGGGAAGGAGTGGTACATGAAAAATTGGAACAAAATTATACTGATCAAAATGGAATTTTGTTTATAATGCCAGAAGAAAACATAACTCATATTTGTATTACTATTCAAGGAGTGATAAAATTATTTAATTTGATGTTAAAATTCATCAGATTCATTTGTTCCAGATGGACCACGACATGCACCTGCTGATAACAGGCCCCAATGGCTGTGGTAAGAGCTCCCTGTTCCGTATTCTAAGTGGTCTGTGGCCTGTGTATAATGGTCGCCTGCATAAACCACCGCCCAGTCAGATGTTTTATATTCCACAAAGGTGAGTTAGCTGACAGCAATAGAGAAATTTTCTATTCCATTGTAGTGTATTAGTCTATATATTGTTTGTGCGTCACGCCAGGTGTCGCATGACACCTGGTACCATGTGACTTGACGCGGGAATCTTGAATGTAATAAAGCAGAACTCATAACAATCAGGGATGCTAGTCTTCCGGTTTTTACCGGAATTCCGGTTTTTTGCGTCCAGTTATAAAATTTTCTGGTACTATATTTTGTTCCGGAATTCTCGTTTTTAATGTGGTCGCAGACTGGACGAACGATGCGTCAGAGGAACGTCGCATTTCAACCATTGCGACAGAGTTGCGTTTCAACACAATATCTAGTCACAACCGTAGCACGTGATTTATTTATGGCGCTTGATTGGTTGGAAATGTAGGCTTTAATGTCGGCACCCATGTGGAAAGTTTTGACACCGCGTGCGCGGAATTTTGAACTAAACCAAACTAAATGGATTGCGCGGAGAGGGGAACAGACGATATTAGCCATTACCAATCTTTGAAAATGATAAATGAAAGGGATTAACATTTAGTGACTATCATTATCATGCTGGTGATTATCAAGCTTACGTGAGGGATCATTACTGTCTACTATGGGTGGTAGGTGTTTATGTACTGATGGCACTTCCATCTTGTCAATGTCAAGATTATCCTTGGAAACAACTGTTGAAAATTACCATGAAGTTGTGATGACATATATTGCAATATATTTATTAAATAAAATTTGAAATATANAACACACAGACCTTCTTTGTGGTAGGTGAATCATTGGGTTTGGTTGGTCACCCTCCTATATGAGGTACTGCTGCAGGCAAATTATTATGTAATGTTGTTATTCTACACATAACATTTGTGGTTGGTGTATTGGGTGGACTAAAAAGATGGGGCCGTAGCGATAGTCCGAAGGTTCAATAGTCCGAAGGTTCATTGGTCCGAATGTTCACTATAGAACCTTCGGACCAATGAACCCTTGATTAAAAAATCGATGAAAATGTTACCACTTTTCGGACCAATGAACCTTCGGACCAATGAACCTTTGGACTATCGAGACGCCCCCAAAAAGATACTTAATCCTAAATTTTTAACTTCTCAAAAGTAATTTATTAAATCAGTGAAATTTCATTTAATACTACCACATTATATTGCCGCTGACATAGTAATGATTTGATTATTTACACCAAAAATCCTAATTTATCTAAATAAATCCCATTAAAAAAACAAATTAAAATTAATGTAACATTTCTACTTGATTGTATGTTCTTTGGTTATGCCTGTGTAGTAATGTAACTGTGTATATACAGATATTTTTACTTTAATTATACAATGTACCACAGTTGGCACTTTAAACAGTAGGATAGTTTAAAGATTTCCCATTTACATAATGTAATAAGTCAGTATGGCCAAAGTGGTTGACTGAAAATGTGTTATATTTTATACCAACTTCATAACATGAAGTCAGTTCTCTTGGTCACTTGGTCTATTTAAGAAAGGCAACAAGCTTACTTTGTCCAATTTCATTGAGGCAATCCTTTAATAAATCAAATGCCTTGTCCCCTTTAGTTTGTAAAATGTCCAGGAATATTGCAGTTTTCTCTGGACATACCACCCTGGTAGTTGTGGTTTGGTGTTGAGGGAGCTCTGGCTTCACCCATTTGTATTCGTGGTCAGTGATAATGTCTTCTTGGAGGAAAACATTCAATATATCTAGGAGACCAGGAACTGTGATATTTTGGCAAAGCTTTGGTTTTACTTCATCCAGAACTGAAAATAATGTTGTCAACACGCTAGAGAATATAAAAATTACATTCAGTCCTTTTTTGATGAGATTGTATAAATAGAAGATGTTGTGGATACATACTTATTCCATTTCTTAAAATGAAAACAAGGCCTTTGACGAGGGGGTTAAAGTAATAACTGTCATTTGCTGATTAAACTGATTCCACTAATTGCACTTTAGCGTAAATGCCCAGCAAAATTGAGCCAACCCAACTAATACAATGTGTAAATCTGAATCCACTTTTTGACCCAAAGGGACATGTAAAAGATAATGATATCCAAATAAAATAAAGTCCTCCTGCGTTTTAGCACTTTTACTGGATGTCATGGTCAGGTGATCAGGGTAGTTTGACATTTTTGAGAATAGAGATACACAGGAAAGAAAAACAGTGAATCATTACACTAATGCGAGAATACTGCTGTGCTTACCTTCCTGCCAGCTCATGACCAGGTGTGGTGGGTAGACCAAGTCTGCAGGAATGGAGACACCAGTGTTGACACATGTCTCCTGTCTTGGTTTGGAAGCTTTCCCCAGGGTTAGGTCAAGTATCTCTCCAGGGAAGAGCGTTGGGTGCTCACTGTCCTCACTCACACAGTGGGGACACACCAGATATTTGTCATATGACAGTCCAGGCCAGTCCTCTTCAATGATGTTCATGAGGTCACGGTGACCTTGTGCAAGAACACCCCACATGTCTGAAAGTTTTGATCCACGGACAGCAATGCTGATAAACCAGTCTGGGTCTTGGCTGACTGCATCAGGATTTAGCTGGTTTTGACCCCGCGTCAGCTGCATTTTGCATCCCTTAGGTTCTGCATACACACCATCCTTCCAGTCCTTTCGCATGGTCTTCATGAGTCCAAGATACTTGTGCTGATGAACAGAAAATTTCTCATATAAGCCATCTGGACATTTGTATGGAAAGAGAACCTGCAGGGTCAGTTGTGTGGTGTCTTGGGGCACCTTGCTGGGCCATTTTGTGTCTAGCTCAGGTTGCCTTTCTTCAGTGAGGAGCCATGGAAATTGAAATGAGGTGTTGGATGGAAGGGATTCATCTTCCTGGACTTGATAGCACAGCTCCAGTTTCTGCATCAGTTCTACCATGACATCAGCTTCAGTGGTTGATAATCTGAAAGGCTCACATAAGCAGTCCATTGCTTCTCTGGAAATGATGCCTCTGCTGAAGATGTCATCATGGATTTTCTTTGCTCTAGGCCCAGATATACTCATGGACTGTTGGAGTTTGGACAGAACAGCATAACTCTCATGATGCAGCACTGCTTTGACAACATTTGCAAGAACTTCTTGCTTGTGAAACACAACTCTCTTCAGAGTAGGGCTTGAATCGAACCAAATGATGTCACCACGGTCAGCAAGAAAACTTAAAATGTCACATGTTGCCAAATCGAGATCTTCATTGGAAGAATTTCTCTCTTTCCAGAGTGTTGGAGCAGTCTGCAGAATGAGGTCTTGTAACTCGTCCCAACCAAGTGTATTTTCAGAGCCTTCATATTTCTTGGTGCAAACCATGGTGGCAGCATCAACCCACATTTCTGGTAAAATTACAGCATGCTCTCTTGCAATAGTAACAAGGAAGTGTTGTAGTTCTTCAATATCCTCCATGGTCTTGGAACTCACCCCAAAAATGTCATCATGGATGTCAATGACTTGGCCTTGTAAGGACATCAGTTTACTCTTCTTATCTTCATAGGCTTGAAGGATGGATGTCTGGGTTCTATCTGTGTCCAGAATTTTCTTCTCAATGCTCTTTATTTGAGACCCATACCATTTTTCTTTCCTTTGCCTGTGATCTTTCAGTTTGCTTTTTATTATAGAACATTTTACACTGGAGGCTTTATCTTGATCTAAATGAGTTCCCACTACTGCCATCTTTATACCTGGCATCTGTGCTTGCACCTTGTCAATCCAGTTTCCAATATAAAGCTTGTAATGAGCTTCATTTTCTGTGTTGTACGTAGACAGATCAAAAGTGATGAAAACCAAGCCACATTTGGAAATAAAAATGGGATGCCCTATTTTGTAGACATCATGTCCACCAAAGTCATTGATATTGAAGCCAACATCTTGGCCAGTCTCCCATGTTCCTTGTTCAACCACTCTTGTCCTGTCTGCTGCCTCTGTGAGTGTTGGCTGCCCAAGTTGCAATGTACGTGAAATGCTGGTTTTTCCTGCTTCTGTTTCACCAAGTAAGTTGACCTGTATTCTACTTGACTGGATTGCCTTGGTGCCAGTTAATGCCACAAAATACCTTTTGATGGCACCTAGTCCCCTCTTGGCAGTATCTTTAGGTGGTTGTACCAAAGGATTACCACCTACATCTAGTCGTATAAGGCTTTCCATATTCTTCATTTGATGTGGCAGGTGAGTGATTTTATTGCCTGACAGGTGAAGTGACCAAAGTTTTGTCAACCTGCTGATATCCACTGGTATGTCAGATAGCTTGTTGTTATCCAGGTTCAGCACCTCTAGGTCAGTCAAGCCACACAGTGCTATGGGGTACGTACTGAAGGCATTGTTAGAGAGGGAGAATATTCTGAGTACCTTCAATCTGCTGATATCCACTGGTATGTCAGATAGCTGGTTGCAATTCAGGTACAGCTCCTTCAGGCCAGTCAAGCCACACAGTGCTATGGGGAATGTACTGAGGGCATTGTTAGAGAGGGAGAATATTCTGAGTACCTTCAACCTGCTGATATCCACTGGTATGTCAGATAGCTGGTTGCCATTCATGTACAGCTCCTTCAGGCCAGTCAAGCCACACAGTGCTATGGGGAATGCAGTGAAGGCATTGTTAGAGAGGTTGGATATTCTGAGTACCTTCAACCTGCTGATATCTACTGGTATGTCAGATAGCTGGTTATAATCCAGATACAGCTCCTTTATGTTAGTCAAGCCACACACTGCTGTGGGGAATGTAGCGAATGCATTTTTATGTAGGTCCAACACTGTGAGGTGTGGCAGGTTGGATATGGACTGTGGTAAAGAAGATAACCTGCTATTGCTTGCATATATCTTCTGAACATTTGTGCACCTGTCAATGGACTCTGGTAGGATGTCTATATCAGCATTGTCTATATCAAGCTCAGTCCATTCCAGTACAGTGTCTGGTGTCTTGGACTGTGGAGACAACTGTAGCCTATGTAAGAGATCAAGTCTCTCTTTGTCTGCTACTTGTCTGTAAGCCATGTCTTAGGAATGGAACAGTAGGAAGAGATGTCACTGCTCTCTATGTATATGTTCATAGGTAGAACTATTTGAATGTTTGAGTGGGAAATTATGTGTTTTTCACCAATTTTAGCAGTATTTGCCCAATGATAACAGACATTTTGCTTTAAAGGAAGGTAACTAAAGAGAATGATTAGATCAATCCTAAAACCATATTTTTGGTCCTTGAACACTCTTGTAACCTGAAATTACAAAATGATAAATTGATAAAAAAAAAAGTAGCAGGTACAGTTATTTTGTTTCACAAAGTTATATTTAGTACTTAGATATGTGGAATTTATTGTCAGTCATTATGTTTAATTATTTCCTGTGGTCCTCCACCAACATGCAGTTGTAAAGTATGGCTGCCACTGTAGACAGTGACAAACTGGAAATATCTTGTAAATATCTTTATTATAGAGAAATGTTTTGGTGACAGAAGTACTCTTCATTTGGCACAAGATGTAAGTAATAACATAATATTACTTTGGTGCATTTAAACCACTTCTGTGTAATGTGAAAGTTCAATATTTGTGTATAAGGCAGTAATTCTTTACCTCATGGGATGTAATGTGGATATGGACAAGTGTACAGGTTTTCTGAAAAAAAAAATGAGCAGCTTAAAAAAAAAGAGTTTTATGTCTTTACCTGTAAGTAAAAATTAACTGAAAAAGCAGGTTTTAAGTTTCTCTCTATCTTGCTCAAACTATTCTAATATTGTTTTATACTGTAATGGTATACATACGAAGTAATTTTTGAGTTTAAAGATTTGATTAAAATTGAATTATGGCATTAAAAAAGCCTTGTACTCAGTATAAAAATAAGTTTTAGTATAATTATAACATTTATATACCTTCTGACTCAAAGTTTTGGATGGTATGATGTGCATCTGGACAAGCATACAGGAAGATTTATATACTGCAGATTATAATGCTCTCTGGAAAAAGAAAAAACACTTGTCTTGTTGAAAGCCATGTATTCTGTCTCAAAAATTAGTAACAAAAATCAGCAGAAAGTAGGTGATAAAAATAAGCTGAGCAATAGCAAGTTTAGCATGATAATGTAGCAAATGTTTGATCAAGTATGGATATCAGTTTTATTGGTTAGCATCTTTTAATAGGGTCCATTTCAGCTGTTCTACTAGCTAGCTCATGGCCAGTTGGGATGTTTTTAAAGCAGAAAATTGTTTTATGTTTAAATCATCATATAATGTGGTTTTATGAGGAAATTATACACAAAATATTACAAAACATCCTCAAACCATATGCCTGTAAATAAACTAGCGCCATCTAAATTTTTAATTAAAATTACCAAGCACAAACTATAGAAATAAAGAAGCAAAATTGCATGTTACTACAACCAGGGTAAATAATGATTTACCATCACTTCAAAGATGTTTCAATGAAGTCCCATGTACCATTTGATATTTAACTTTGTCGGGAAGAAATTTAGCATGTGAGACAAATAAATTTAAAGAAACACAATTAACACATACATAGGCGCAAGGCTGTGAGAATTTTAAGGAAGTGCCTCTACTGTATATGAACATCTGGTGCAGCTAATGGCCATGTTACTGCCTTAAGTATTACATAATATTTTTCTTGCAAAACTTTTTACCTCACCTGTTTACAAGTTACAGTTACTCTGCTGTAAGGTGACTCAGAATCTGCTGGTGGTACATACTCAGGAGGCGCCTCTATGATCTTCTGAATCAAATAGTGTAGCAATAGCAAATTAAAAAAAAACAACTTATTTTGGTATTTTTTAAAGGACAATTTAATCAACTAAATAGAAACGCCCATTTATGTCTAAGAAAGAAAAAGATCCCAAATTTTGGTGTTTAACTTTATCCATTTAAATATTTATGATAATTTGAAATATGTATCATCAAGATGCACTTACTTTGAAATACAAGTTCTTGCTCAGTCCAAGCTGTCAAAAATCTCAGGTAGTAAGTATGATAAGATTTTATAACCATCTCGAAAATGCAAACAAAATGGCCTCAGCAAGTAAACATCATGTGATGTTGAATATGCCTTCCGGTATGTCACTAGAGATAATAATATAAAGTGAGTCTGATATAAAATATAATTAACTTCTGAGATTTTATTTTGAAAAAATGACCTTTTCTTTTGTATGGAGAAAATATTGTAACATTTAAATACTAAGTCTCGTGTAAGTATTGTTCTGGTGAGATATTTATCTTAAACCAAGTTTAGTATCCCTATCTTTCCCAGTTCACCTCTGCTATGTGTACACAGGGAGGAGGTCAATTAAATTTATGTCACAAGCCCCTGCATATAGATGCAACATATGACATTAGAAAGAGTACAGCTAGGGCAAAGAACAGGTTGAAGATACATGGAGATATTCTGCTTTAGTCTCAGATCTTTATTTTTATGTACAGACACAGATGTGTCTGTACATATTGCCATCACCTGCGTCTGTCGTCGCCGATGGCGATGCCGATGGCGATGGCGATGCCGGCGCCGTGCACTTTCCTTGTAAACACGATAAGTGGAGGGCAGTTTTACTTTTTGGCTTTATATTTACAGAGCTGATGAATATTCATAAAACGCAGGTCAAGTTCGAAAATCAGCATGATCGGGCCATTATTGTAGAAGTTATGCTGTTTTTTCACTTTTCAGCATATTTTTCACATTTCCTCAGATTCAATTCTTAGGCATGTTAACAGTCTCATTATTAAACTAATAAGATACGTAAAAGTGTTTGTTTGACATTTCCTGCATCTTTACAATATTGTTAGTTGATTTTGTAAAAATGATGGTAAACTTGTTATCGTGTATTGTGTAATAAAGTTTCAAAAATGGAAATAAACTCATATCATTGCAGTTTGTCAGATTCAATCATTCACTATGTTCAGAATCTCAGAATGGAAGAAATTGGACATTTAACACT